TAATTTTGAAGTCATTTTTGTTACAATCTTTTTCCTGTTTATTTATTTGCATGAATAACATTGTAGTGAAAAGTATTACTTTCGTTAATCGACATAAAAATATATCACAAACACTGCAGTTTTTATTGTTTTTTCGAATTTGCTCTCTGGATGGTCAGAAATATATTGTCAATTTTAAAGAAGTACATGTACAATATCGTTAAGTAATATCTATTTTAAAATTCAAATAAATGAGTTTGACAGCATATCTTGTGTTCATTGCATTTATTCTGTCAGTTTCTATTTTTTTTAAATCCACAATTTTAAAAATAAGGGCTTCAAGATCACAGTGTTAGTACTTTGAAATTGCATTTAGAGTAAGTTGGGTTGTTTAGGGATAAGTTAATTTTTGACCCAATTCCATTAAAAGTGCAAGGTTAGCCCCTTACCATTTGAATATAAATTGGCATCGCAAATTTTATCTATGCTTTAATGTAGCTCGAAGTACAAGTAATGAAATTTAGAAAAGCATCTTGTTCCCCACCTTCAATTGCATATACTAAACGAAACCCAGAAATTTGCATACTGCTATTTTTATTTAATGAGCAATTTTTATTTATTTGCATTTGATGAATATGCATTAATGAATATTCATGATGTTTCGCAATGTTTTAACCTAAGGTTTATATATAAGGTCCGAACACAAATTTATCAAGAAGCAGTTGGCTCAGTAGGACGCGCGCAGGATCCGAACCGGGATGTCCCCGGTTCAGATCCTGGGCCGTCCTGAGGAGCTTTTAGACTTTTTTAAAAATATATACTAAGTTTTCTGACAAAATTGTGCATGGGTGGGACTTGAACCAGGAACCCTTGGGTATGTAGCCTTACACTCTTACCACTACACCACCGGGTTTTTCTTAAAAAAGTAAGAATTCCGGTAATTAAAACCCTTAGGATGTTCTGACTTAGTCTCCAGAGAGAGTTGGAAGCTGAGGGGTAGAGGCCTTGGGTCTGGGGTAGGAACTTGGGACTTAGGTTTGGGCTGATCAACTCACTGGGGAATTTATTAGCTGGATGGTTTGTACTTATACTTTATACTTAAAATATTTAGCTGGATGGTTCATACTTATACTTTATACTTAAAATATTTAGCTGGATGGTTTGTACTTATACTTTATACTTATACGTGTTCTAGGGAATTTAGTTCAAGACTTTATATCTGCTTCTTCACAAAATTAATAAATTAAAGGCAGACACATAGGAACAAGAGAACAGCACTGCTAATATCTTGCCATACCATACAATTTATTTCTTCATTTATTAACAGCAATAAATATACATCAATGTAAAATCAAAATAGTTCATTACAATGTAATGTAACCATTTCTGTTAACACTTCAAGTTTTAAACTTAAACTAAATTAATGAGAGAATTTGTAAGGAAATGTTATAAGACGCTTTTACAGGCAAATAATAGCTCATATAAATATGATACAAACAAACGTTTTAAATTATTGCTTTTTTTTGGCTAACACATGGTATTTTTTCAAATTTTAACAAAAAATTGAAATTCCTTTGAAATAAAAGATGCCTAAGGGACCTTAGAACACATTAAAATTTCAATGATATGCTTTTTCAAAGAAAATTGGGGTGAAAATATGGGGCCAAATCAGTCAAAAATGTTAATTAATTTCTCGCAAAATTGATGGTTTTTGCCCAAATCTTCAAAAATATTGGGTGTTTGAGTATTGATTGATGCTCCTCTGACGTCCAAAGGAATTTCTGCATTGTTTGGAGAAAAGTCATTTTTTGGCCAAATTTTGATAAAAATGTAAGGCTAACCCCTTACATTTGTTTCAATTTTGAACAAAATTGGAATTCCTTGAAACTTGCTTGAAAGATGCCTAAGGGACCCTAGCATACATTTCAATTCCATTTGTAGAAAGATATGCTTTTCCAAAAGAAAATTGGGTGAAAATATGGGGCCAAATCAGTCAAAAATGTTAATGAATTTCTCACAAAATTGATGGTTTTTGCCCAAATCTTCAAAATATTGGGTGTTTGAGTATTGATTGGTGCTCCTCTGACGTCCAAAGGAATTTCTGCATTGTTTGGAGAAAAGTCATTTTTTGGCCAAATTTTGATAAAAATGTAAGGCTAACCCCTTACATTTTTTTTCAATTTTGACCAAAAATTGGAATTCCTTGAAACTTGCTTGAAAGATGCCTAAGGGACCCTAGAATACATTCCAATTCCATTTGTAGAAAGATATGCTTTTCCAAAAGAAAATTGGGTGAAAATATGGGGCCAAATCAGTCAAAAATGTTAATGAATTTCTCACAAAATTGATGGTTTTTGCCCAAATCTTCAAAATATTGGGTGTTTGAGTATTGATTGGTGCTCCTCTGACGTCCAAAGGAATTTCTGCATTGTTTGGAGAAAAGTCATTTTTTGGCCAAATTTTGATAAAAATGTAAGGCTAACCCCTTACATTTTTTTTCAATTTTGACCAAAAATTGGAATTCCTTGAAACTTGCTTGAAAGATGCCTAAGGGACCCTAGAATACATTCCAATTCCATTTGTAGAAAGATATGCTTTTCCAAAAAAAAATTGGGTGAAAATATGGGGCCAAATCAGTCAAAAATGTTAATGAATTTCTCACAAAATTGATGGTTTTTGCCCAAATCTTCAAAATATTGGGTGTTTGAGTATTGATTGGTGCTCCTCTGACGTCCAAAGGAATTTCTGCATTGTTTGGAGAAAAGTCATTTTTTGGCCAAATTTTGATAAAAATGTAAGGCTAACCCCTTACATTTTTTTTCAATTTTGACCAAAAATTGGAATTCCTTGAAACTTGCTTGAAAGATGCCTAAGGGACCCTAGAATACATTCCAATTCCATTTGTAGAAAGATATGCTTTTCCAAAAAAAAAATGGGTGAAAAAATGGGGCCAAATCAGTCAAAAATTTTAATGAATTTCTCACAAAATTGATGGTTTTTGCCCAAATCTGAAAAAATGTTGGGTGTTTGAGTATTGATTGGTGCTCCTCTGATATCCAAAGGAATTTCTGCATTGTTTGGAGAAAAGTCATTTTTTGGCCAAATTTTGATAAAAATGTAAGGCTAACCCCTTACATTTTTTTTCAATTTTGACCAAAAATTGGAATTCCTTGAAACTTGCTTGAAAGATGCCTAAGGGACCCTAGAATACATTCCAATTCCATTTGTAGAAAGATATGCTTTTCCAAAAAAAAATTGGGTGAAAATATGGGGCCAAATCAGTCAAAAATTTTAATGAATTTCTCACAAAATTGATGGTTTTTGCCCAAATCTTCAAAAATATTGGGTGTTTGAGTATTGATTGGTGCTCCTCTGACATCCAAAGGAATTTCTGCATTGTTTGGAGAAAAGTCATTTTTATGGCCAAATTTTGATAAAAATGTAAGGCTAACCCCTTACATTTTTTTTCAATTTTGACCAAAAATTGGAATTCCTTGAAACTTGCTTGAAAGATGCCTGAGGGACCCTAGAATACATTCCAATTCCATTTGTAGAAAGATATGCTTTTCCAAAAAAAAAAATTGGGTGAAAATATGGGGCCAAATCAGTCAAAAATGTTAATGAATTTCTCACAAAATTGATGGTTTTTGCCCAAATCTTCAAAATATTGGGTGTTTGAGTATTGATTGGTGCTCCTCTGATATCCAAAGGAATTTCTGCATTGTTTGGAGAAAAGTCATTTTTTGGCCAAATTTTGATAAAAATGTAAGGCTAACCCCTTACATTTTTTTTCAATTTTGACCAAAAATTGGAATTCCTTGAAACTTGCTTGAAAGATGCCTAAGGGACCCTAGAATACATTCCAATTCCATTTGTAGAAAGATATGCTTTTCAAAAAAAAAAAAATTGGTAAAATATGGGGCCAAATCAGTCAAAAATGTTAATGAATTTCTCACAAAATTGATGGTTTTTGCCCAAATCTTCAAAATATTGGGTGTTTGAGTATTGATTGGTGTTCCTCTGACATCCAAAGGAATTTCTGCATTGTTTGGAGAAAAGTCATTTTTTGGCCAAATTTTGATAAAAATGTAAGGCTAACCCCTTGCATTTTTTTCAATTTTGAAACAAAAATGGAATTCCTTGAAACTTGCTTGAAAGATGCCTAAGGGACCCAAGAACACATTCCAATTCCATTTGTAGAAAGATATGCTTTTCTAAAGAAAATTTGGGTGAAAATATGGGGCCAAATCAGTCAAAAATGTTAATCAATTTCTCGCAAAATTGATGGTTTTTGCCCAAATCTTCAAAATATTGGGTGTTTGAGTATTGATTGGTGCTCCTCTGACATCCAAAGGAATTTCTGCATTGTTTGGAGAAAAGTCATTTTTTGGCCAAATCTTGATAAAAATGTAAGGCTAACCCCTTGCATTTTTTTCAATTTTGAAACAAAAATGGAATTCCTTGAAACTTGCTTGAAAGATGCCTAAGGGACCCAAGAACACATTCCAATTCCATTTGTAGAAAGATATGCTTTTCTAAAGAAAATTTGGGTGAAAATATGGGGCCAAATCAGTCAAAAATGTTAATCAATTTCTCGCAAAATTGATGGTTTTTGCCCAAATCTTCAAAATATTGGGTGTTTGAGTGTTGATTGGTGCTCCTCTGACATCCAAAGGAATTTCTGCATTGTTTGGAGAAAAGTCATTTTTTGGCCAAATTTTGATAAAAATGCAAGGCTAACCCCTTGCATTTTTTTCAATTTTGACCAAAAAAAGGAATTCCTTAAAACTTACTAGAAAGATGCCTAAGGGACCCTAGAACACATTCCAATTCTATTTGTAGAAAGATATGCTTTTCCAAAAAAATTTGGATGAAAATATGGGGCCAAATCAGTCAAAAATGTTAATTAATTTCTCACAAAATCGATGATTTTTGCCCAAAATCTTCAAAATATTGGGTGTTTGAGTATTGATTTGTGCTCCTCTGACTTCCAAAGGAATTTCTACATTGTTTGGAGAAAAAATCAATTTTTGGCCGAATTTTGATAAAAATGTAAGACTAACCCCTTGCATTTTTTTTCATTTTGAGCAAAAAATGGAATTCCTTGAAACTTGCTTTCAAATGCCTAAGGGACCGTAAAACACATTCCAATTCCACTTATAGGCATTTGATTCAGTAAGCACCATGTACTATTTATGCACAAACCCCTCACAAAAACATGTCACTATCTAAAACATTATCTAGAGAGAAACGACGAAGATGTAACCATGGGGTCATCATGTGACCTCTGTCGTCATAACGAGTTGCCCTCAATACTGTGGATACGTACGCTGCCGTCCGAGCTGCAGCTGGCAAGCTGGAGATGTGATGTGTGACCTTTGACCTCTGGTCTCCAACGCAGCCTCTTGACTGTCATGGTGTGGCATTGTCTGTAAAAAAAAAATTTAGAATTTAGATACGGATGTCGGTTGATGCTGGATTTTTTAACATTTAGGCATGAGTTACTTTTAGGACCCCTAGATTTTTTGAGCTTGCTCAAATTTTTTTCTTCTCTCAATGAGTTTACTACTCCAAAACTAGACTAGCATTCTCTAGTAGTGTTTTTATTACAATTGCCACTGTGTTTCTATCATTTTGAACACAGAGAAAATGTGACATTCTTTGTGCATGACATAGCTGTAATTGCGCATCAATAATCGCGACTAGTTGCGATAAATAGTGACTAGTCGCAACTAGTAACGTATTATTTATTTATCAAGTAATACCTCTAATCGCACTAGTCACACAGGCCTAGCATTTCCCCCATAATGTACCGCATAAAACAAAACCCTGCCCTCTTTCCACAAAAATTAATCCTGCGGATAATTAACATGGTATCACTGTCTCGAGTCTGAAAACATTAGATTTTTTTTGTTCAACTAAATATTTTCTCAGCTCCTTCAAAGTTAAAAGGATGTGAAGTCACTTTTAAAGACACAATATTGATTTGAAAATTCTTGCAAAAATAAGAAGTAAATATTTATGCGTAATTATTTAACAAACTTACTGTGTTGGAAAGCGGAAACACGTCTGCCAGTCGTTGGGTTTCTCCGAGTCCCATTTCAGTACGGCCATCGTTCCTGCCTCCAACCCAACAGCTAAAATGTAACTGCAATAAAGAAATGAAAACTATCAAAACAGGTTGGTCCAAAAATCACTTCAGTCTCAAGACCACTGAATTAGTTTGGTTTTATAGAGAACAGAGAAAAACAGTAATGTGGAATTGTTTTAACCATAAAAGTGACTTAATTTACCTTGAATCGACACTGTTTAACACTGGAGCGAAGTCTACTGCCGTCACTGCATCCTTCAGGTCAAAAGGCACTGAGCATGCTCGGTAGTTGCCAAGGCAAGTGGGTGATGCTGTGTCCCCATCCTGGCTGGTCGACCTTTGACCCCAAAAAATGACCTGGAAAATACAATTTCATATGGGAATTTGTTATTTAGCACACCGAATGTAATTAACAAAGTTCCAAATGGACAAGATTATTGGGAATTATTGCAATTTATTTATGCAAATCAACGTTTAAAGTGTTGGAAATGTAAATCATTTTGGTTCTTTGTTAAAGCGCTACATAAATCCTATTATCATCATTGTTACATCTTAAGCTTTTTTAACCTAAATCAAATTTATAACTTGAAACTGCTTTTACGGGCAAATTTCAAACTTTTAATTTATTTTACGAAAGAAAAGGTCAAGGTTCAACCTACTTTTTTATCCCGTGACGCCGTGGCGAAGTACTGGTCGTCATGTGACCAGGCACATGACCAGATGATGCGCGTGTGGACGGAGGTTTTCTTATCTGTGCATGCCTCCAATGTGTAGGGACAACCTGCCAAGAATAAAAAGGAAAAACGGCATAATGAAAGGTTTCATGGTTCATAAGTTTTAAGACTTTTCTCCAAAACTTACAAGTTTTCCTCTCCTAAGCACAGAAAATATGTGCTAAGCAGAAACAGCTTACCCGTCAAAAATGAGAAGGTTGTGGGTTCGAGTCCAACCTGAGTTTTCTTGTGATTTTTTTCACAAGACCTCGGACAACACTGAGTATACAGTTTTTATGAAATTATGTTTGTGAAATTGGGGGGGGGGGGGGTATTTAACACTGAGTGTGGCCTGGTGTTTAGGGTTCGTGACTCATGATCAGAGGGTCAGAGGTTCGAATCCAGCTGCTGGCCAAACTTTATGTCCTTGGGCAAGCCACTTTACCCCACTTGCCTCTCTCCACCCAGGAGTATAAATGGGTACCGGCATTAGCTGGGGAGTAACCTGCGATGGACTAGCATCCCATCCAGGAGGAATAGAAATATTCTCAGTTGCTTCATGCCATGGAAACCAGAGATAAATGCTGGCCTGATGGGCCATATTGGCTCGTGACAGACGTTACTTTTTCTTTGCTCACCACTTTTGGATTTTGTCTCTTGGAAGAGGGACCAGGTCCTGTCTCTGGAGACTGCCAGAAGACGCTGGCCGTCGTGGGAGAACGCTAGCAGGGTCACGGTCAGGGAGTGGGCGGAGAGCTGGCTCAACTGACGCCAAGACGCCGTGTCCCAGAGGATTATGGTCGCGTACTCGGGCTTGGATGCCTACAGAGGAAAGGATGAAGGAACTTAAGCATTTGTGAAGAAAAAAATGAAATGGTTTTAGTGGAGTTGCTTCAAGGCATTTCAAATGAATTTTTTAAAGGCATGTCACCTGAATTGAGGTTGTATCAAAATTGTTATATAGTGGCAATTGGAGGGTTTTAATGGATTGAGGATGGATCCAAGCCAAATGGGTCAAAGTGGTTAGGGTTCAATTCCAGAATTTTCCAGGATTTTTCCATGAATGTGGGAACCCTCAGTAAATATACCCCTTGCTCACCTTGCAGGCTGACGCCAAGACGCTCCCGTTAGGATGACTAGCAATGCTAAAGATCTCATAACTGTGACCGTACAGCTTCTGCGTCTCTGGCCATAGGGTGTTCTGGAGTAGGTGTTCCTCTGTGGGCGGACCTGGGGTAAAAAAAAGGAAGGGGGGATGTTTGGTTAATCATTTATTTTACTTAATAAAGCAAAACTTTGCTGATGTTGGCCGGATTCTCTTGTACCGACCGTATAATGTGCAAAAGTCAACATTTGTTGGCCAACATTGACAAAATGGAATGTGCAAGTTTGCAGTTTTTACATTTGTGGATGATCGAGCTTGGACATGTTTAGCTGTTGGTGTATTTTTCTATAGCTTTCAGCATACTGCTTACAGGCATATATCATTTACAGCTATCCAAAAAGTAAACGAAGACATTATTTTTGTAAAAAACGTACTTGTTCAATATATTAAAGACACTAAACTTGACGGGTGGAGGGTCGAGTCAACCAGGTGCTTCTTTATTGTTATTGGTTTCTGGTTGTTGTGCAGTGCAGCGCCATGAGCGCCGCAAGCGGCGGATACCGGCGCTATATAAATTTTCATTATTATTATTATTATTATTAAACTGGTCTGTGAAATTATTAATTTTTTTTTTTGAAGAAAATTTTTTCAAACGTTGCATTACCTGCCAGTTCTAGCGGGTTGAAGTAAATCTCGGGGTACATCTCGCTCGGGTGCGAGATCTCGCGGTCCGAAGTCGGCATCCCCGCGCCTCCCTGGAACACCGCTTTGTTGGACAAACCCAAGGCTGGGACGCTCGCTCCTTCAGGAATATCACTTTTCTTCTACAAAAGTAAAGACAACAATTTGAGTCTTTCATTCAAAACTGGTCTTCTGGGTTCAATGGAACATTGCATTAGGCTCCGCCCTCCTGCAAGCTTGTCAGACTTGTGTACACGCATGTTGAATATTAATTATGGCTGTGATTGGTCAATGCGTCATGGGGCGGGGCTTAATGGATCAATCCATTCACAGAGCTAATCTGCACTCAAATTTTGCTAAGCACAGAAAATATTGGCATAGCGACAATGGGTTACCAGCCAAAAAATTTCACTAGATGCACACTGCCTGTGACCGGTTCCCGGCTAATGTTGGCAGAGTATAATCAACGTGCTAAGCTATTTTTCTTTTCCAAAAAAGAAAATTTGGCCCCGTTAAGTTCCTGCTTGGAGTATTAAATGAAGAACCTTCCAAAATCAGATTACTTTAGGTAATTCTGTGCAAATGGTAAATGTATTTCAAAGGTACATGTAGCAAGCAACTTTAGCTTGTGAACATAATAAATACAATTACATCCATATTCTGCAATATATATCCAAATCAAGATTACTCATAGTGCAGTACAATAAAAAGTAAAAAAATATCCAAGTTAAAGTTAAAAACATTTAAAGCTTTACACTATAGTTAAACAAATTTACTAACAAAAACAGAGACTAAAAAAGAGACGGGCCATCCGCCACAACTAGAAAACATGCCCAGCCGAGCACTACAACCAACCAAACGACCGACTGACCAACCAACCAACCGACCGACCAACCAACCAACTGACCGACCAACAAGCAAATCAACTAACCCACTGACTGACCAGCTACAACATATATGCTTCCCGTAATAAAGTATTCTGCGTGCAAACGGTTTAGCACATTTCTGTTCTTGTGCTGTAGGTACGGAATGATGATCATAAGCTCAAGAATTCCATGATTAAGTAGAACTCTTGGTTTTTAATTTCAAACAAATCCTTACCCTGTCCTCAAGATCCTGTCTGACGTCAATACTCGATATCCTGCCAAAGTTCGCAATGAAGTTTCTTGGGGCCTCAAACACTCGCAAGACCTAGGACAACAAACAAGACAACAGTTCAGTAAATTTGAAATTCCTTCGCCCCCCCCCCCTTTTTTGGCTGCAAGTCTCCCATACTTAGTAATCTGTGGTAAACTTTCTGGACTTGGAAATTGTAAAATTTGAACAATTGTAACAGCGGCCAATTTCAGTGCACTGCTGAGGGAAAGAATGTTGCAACCTGACGCCACTTTTTCTTCATATATCATCTCAATAAAGGTCAATCATTGCAAAAATGTTGAAAAGACATGAATCTGGGACTGAGAAACATTTCCATTTTCCAATTTTGCTAGGAAATATATGCACCCGTCTCTCCATTGACTTTGTACATAACCAAAGAAGTGGTGTCTAGATACTATACAATTTCCCTGCTGAACACAGAAAATATTATCTTAGGAAAAACGGTTTACCGGCCAAAATTTCATGCAATGCACACTGCATGGGGCTGGTCCTGGGGCTTATTTTTAATTACCGCAAAACAATTTACTATTTGAAAAATTTACTAATTTTTTTTTTTTGAAAAAAAATAAAGCTGAATTTTGATTGAAGCAGAAACCTTTTCGTCAGCTCCCGAGGCCAGACGGAATCTGTCGACCATTGCCAGGCACTGCATGTCGTAGCCGTGGACCTGGGGTCGAGCGATCTCATGCCACGTGGTCTAGAAACAAAGGCAAAAACAAAGAAGGGTTAAAACACGTTGCCAAGTCAACTATTCTCGAGTCATGAAGCTACGTAATATGGCACTTGGTGCTGTGGTTGCTAAAGGGATTTTTTTTTCTAAACAAAAAAAAAGTCCAGGCTCATTGGAGGGGTCATAAGTTTTAATCTGATCGTCTTATGATGATGTCATTTATATAGACCTTTGGGGCATTGTGTTAGCTACATATTGATACCCCGTTTGCTACCAAAGACTGTAAATCGTCTGAGATTAACAACGGTTTATGAGAAATGATGCAGTTTGAGAAGTTGCAAATTGAATATTACGCGAGGAGATATTGCCTGTGGTCATGGTGCATTTGCCCTTGGGCAAGGCACTTTGTCACTCATTGCTTCTCTCCACCCAGGAGTAGATGGGTACCTGTGAGGGCAGTGTTGGTGACTGTAAGAGGTTGATTATAGCCAAAAGCGCGGAAATGGTTGCCTACCGGCCGTGTATGCTCCCTAGGGAGTTGAGAAGGTTTCAAGAGTGTTTGCCCGTTGACACAGGTAAAATAATAATTGTAAAGCGCTCTGAAACCCTGATGTGAAAGTGCTGTATAAATGACTGCTATTATTATTATTATTATTATTATTATATAAATGTAGCGGTGATACAACTCAAAGGTGTTTACCTTGTAGCCTGGTCGTCGCCAGGGGGCGTGTAGTCGTGTCGTCTGGTCCGAACCCACGCTCATCAGGAATTCCCCACCCTGGGGATCCCAGACTATGTCCTGCACACCGGCGTAGTGACCGCTGACCACCGGCATTGGTGACCACTGGTCACTCGTCTGCCAAAAAAAAAAATAACCACAAGTAAAGAGCCGTTTGGTTTAGCTTGAAGAAACTTCATCAATTTTTATCAAAATGTTACGACGCGAAGACAACTTACTCTATCGGGATTGGAAGTGTCCCTCGCCCACAGATGAAACGCTCCTTGGTAGCCGTGAGCTAAGATTGCGTTCCCGTCAGGACTGAACTGGCAGCCGTACAGGCCCAAGGTGTTACCGCCCACCTCACCTACCCTAACCTATAGGAGAGCAGAAAAGTATACCTTATACATATGCATGAGCTAATCCACATATTTCATTGGTCCTTTAACACCTATCGTTTACTGTGGGAGAAAGAAATTTATCTTATTCACATTCATTAGCGAATGCATGCCTTTAACAACAATCATTTGACTATTTAATTTTTTTGTTACATCTGACTCATTTTAATCAGATCAGACTTTACTCTTTAAGAATAAAAATGTAAAATTTCATCTTTACAAAATTTAACTTCATCAAATCTTAGTTTGAGGACACGTCCCCAAAAGTTCAAGAAGCAAAAAAACAAGGATCCATTCCTTCAATGTGGCCATTACTTCAATGAATTCATCTCATGAATAAACACAACTCACATGATCCAGCCACACCCCTGATTCGCTGTCCAGCTTCCATATGATCATGGTCTTGTCCATGGAGGCGGAGAGTAGGCGGGGCTCCTGGTGTCTCCTCCCATCTGAGAAATGACCAAACAAATAAACTGTCTGCATGGTCCCATATGGCTTTATGGATTCATTAAGGAGTAAGTACAATGTAATACAATGTAATACAATGTAATACAATTTAATACAATGTAATACAATTTAACACAATGTAATACAAAATCCACATATTATTCCTAGCGAAACAAATGAACATATCGTACCTCTGTAAGTTGACGGTTGCCAATGTAACCCGTAGACCCACTGTTCATGACCGGCCAGCACGCTCTCTAGCACCACAGAATAATGAGCCTCACCACCTGAATTGAAAGACAAGAAGTAAAAAAAAAAAAGAAGTACGTTATGGCAAGATATTTTCTAAAAAAAATTGCTGACTTTGAATTTCAAAGGCTGTGGAATAAGTAAACATGTTCCTATTTATAAGATGGATTTTTGCGTCGGGGTGATGTAAATTCAATAATGGTTTGCCCTTCACCGATGTAGAAACGCTGTATACTCAGTGTGTTACCCACAAAGTGAAAGTGAGCAAAAAATAACTCGGGTGGGAATCGAACCCACAACCTCCTGCTTTCTATAGTGCTTACGTCATGTTCCTGATTATCTCTATTATCTCTATCTTATGTACCTGTCTGAGTTTATCTCCTTATATTTGAACTTTATCTAGCCGTTTCAAATTACTAAAGTTATCACAGAGACAATTTTGTGGAGATGCAATACACAAAACTTTTGCCAGCACAGAATGGTGAGGTTGTCGTGTCTATGCAACAAGGTCTTTGCATAGACAAAAAAATGGCGAGTGACGTCATGTTTTCAATGTCAAAAGGTCGTATCCCGCTTAAAATAACCCTGATGTACACGCAAAGTCATTGGACATCGAGATATGACCTTGTTGCACGGAGCGAATTCGCGCGAGATACGACTTTGTTGCAGCATTGAGTTACAACTTGTTGCACTGACACGACAAGGTATTCTTCAAGTTTTGAGTCAGTACAAAGTACGGTGGGTTGCTAAGGCAATGGCATAGAAATTGTTAGTTGGGGTGGGTGGGAGGTAGGGTTTGGGGGTGAGGGAATGGGGGTGAGGGAATGGGGGTGGGTGCGGGGGGGGGGGGGGGGGGTTGAAGTTGGAGACTAAGACAAAGCCGAGATTTGAGAAATTATGTGAGGCAGATGATATTTGCGTACGGTGTGCCATGCACAAGCAGGCCGTGGGCAGAGAGCGCCTTCAGTACGTTGATCAGATGCTTGGCTACCTATCCCTTCTCCCTCCCCCTCCTGTTTCATTTTTGTTGGGGGGAAAGGAACACCCCCTCCCCCTGCAACACCTCAACTTTACTGTAGTGTTGGATTTACTTCAGGATGATTCTGTGCCGAAGTACCCAGGTATTTATTCAAAAGATCTTCCTCTGACGTCCATTACCTTCCCAAGCTGCGTGGAATTTATTTCCCTTCAGTCTCAGCTCCCCCTCGCTCGCTTCAACCACGTCGTCCTTGCCCGGCTCGGCTTGGACTCGCCAGAGCCGAATGAAGCAATCCTGGGAGCAGCTAGCCACAAGGAGATCCCCAGTATCTTGAAGAGGCACAAACAGAAGGATTTACAAATACAAACAAAACATTTGTACAAAACATTCGGTGCCTACGGGCTCCATGCTCAAATACCCCAAGAACTGTGGACACAAAAATGGCTTATAAAAAAAACACTTTAACCCTACCAGACACAACACAATAGATCAGGGCCAAATTTCTTGGCTCTGTTTACAGGCATGCAACTGGGAATTTAGAAAAAACGAGGAAAGTCCAAACCACACAAGACTTTGTACAGTATTTTTTTAACTTGTAATGCCATTCATGAGAAGTAAAGAAACGAGGAAATCATTGGATCCGAGGAAAAGTTACATGCCTGTGCTTACCATAAGTGAAAAAATCCCTGCTTAACTGTAGCAGAAAATGCTGTAATAACGGTAAGCGTATTTCACAGGTTAGCGAGGAATTGTGGCTTCTGCGCATGCGTACATCCTGTAACTACGGATTCTGTGCTTACAGGGTTAGCACAGAATTTGTGTGCTAGCGGGGTCAGCAGAAAAGCAATTGTAATCACAGAATTCTGTGGTTAACAGAGCCTTAGGCCATCAGCCTCGGTCCAAAATTTTGGCCATCGGCATCAAATGAGGGGAATAATTGGCAAGGTATACACCTCAAAAGTTAGAAAATATGTCATAGCATTGCAGCGGTGGCAACTTTTTGGGTGTTATCACTCTTTTTTTCCAAAATGTCCATCAAAATGCTTGTAACCACTCTAGGGGCGGTATACCTTGCGCACTATTATCATTTATGCCCTGATTCGTTACTGACCAAACCCCAGGCTGATGGTCTACATGAAATTGGGCCCTGGTAAGATGTATTGATGGTACCATAATGGAGAATTGATAGCTACACATGTTGATAAAGGCACCCAAAGAGTGGTGCTACATGTATATTGCTAAAATGTAACAAAACTAACAGTGGAACTGCCTGATAGATGAATTTTGAATTTCTCACCATCAGCTGTTACTTCTACTCCTCTGATCCAGTCCTCATGGCCAGTCAGTGACAGGCATCTTGTAAATTGGCCGTCTGCTTCCTGGTAAAAATGAAGTTTTGTGTCGTCGCCTCCCAGGACCAACAACGGCACTGCGAAACAAAACGAGAGTTAAAACCTGAGTCGACGAATGGAAGCCGAGTTGGGATCAAGTCCTCATAGGTCATAACAGTCTATCAAATGTCATTGTAAGTCCAACACAAGTCATCACAAGATTTCAAAAGTCTGTCACGTCACCGCAAGATGTCACAAGTAATAACAAGATACCATCAGTGATCCAATCTCTAGTCATCACAAGTTTGTCACTAAACACCGCAAGTGCATCACAAGTCATCATTGGATATCACAAGTCCTCACATAATATCACAAGTCCTCACATAATATCTCAAGTCATCACAAGATACCATATGTCATCCTGTCTCAAGTCAACACAAGTCCATCACTAAGTATCACAAGTCCATCATAGGATATCACAAGTCGTCACAAGATATCACAAGTCGTCACAAGTTGTCACAAGTCGTCACAAGCTGCCACAAGTAGTCACAAGAAGCCACAAGTCATCACAAGAAGCCACAAGTCATCACAAGATACCATAAGTCATCCTGTCTCAAGTCATCACACGTCCATCACTAAACATCACAAGTCCAACGCAAGTCATCATAAGATGTCACAAGTACATCACAAGTAATCACAACTTGTGATTCACAAGTCATCACAAATCTATCACAAGTTATCAAGAGACATCACAAGTCATCGCAAGATATCACAAGTCCACCACAAGTCCTCCAGGTCCCAAGTCATGTGACCAGATAATCAAATTGGCAAGTCCGTCTCACAGGAGAACAGGCCCGATCGCGCCCTCTGTTGATATCCAGATCCCACTTACCCCTTGTGCCGGGGAGAATGTACAGTGCAATGTCCAATGCAAACCCACTGCCGAATGTTATGCTCTGCTGGCAGGCAAAATCGCCACTGATTTCAGCCCTCCGCCAGAGTTTCACGGTTGAATCGCCAGATGCGCTGGCAACGAGCGTGGGTGAGTCTAGGGAGAGCTGGCCGCTTTGGTCTGGGAGGTAGACGGCCTCTAATGCTGTTACGGCTCCAGTGTGACCAGTGAGTTTAGCATGTTGCTGGTGCTGTTGAAAGTAACAATAGTATTACAAATATTGAAAAAAATTTAATGAAATGATGTGACATTTAGTTTTTCTGTTGTCACAATCAAAACACATTTTAGTGGTCTGACCATGCTCAAGCATATGGAAACAAACTGGCAAAAGTGGCTAGCATATTTGTGATGCGATCAAGCTAAATGAGTCGTTTGTCGAACCTGGCCAATTTTTTTTTTTTACAGATTTGAAAAAAGCACAATCTCAGCAATACTGCTGTGAAAACTGCATGCTGATACCATCTTTAGTTACAAATTATGGAAGTCGGAACACCAAGAGATGTGATGAAGTGATGTGATGAAGTGGCCCTAATTTGGCCTGAATCTCCAAATGAAAATTCCTGACAAACGACTCATTCAGCTTGATTGCATCACATGTGACTATCTGATATTTCTTTTCTCCTTCAAAAAGGGTCTCAAGACCCACCTTTCCCCCAAATCGTAGCTGGCTGTCCTCTTTTCTTTGTCTTCTTTCCCTGTTTCATTCTTTGTTCAGTACTTTGTATCCTTAGGCAATTTGGCACTCTATAAATCCAGTTATTATTATTTATTATTAAATGGATCTCCTAGTGGTGACCTCCAACTCTCCCTTTCTTACTGTTGAGGGGGTGCTTGTGTGCAGAGCTGATAGATTCAACTAAGGCCAAGTTCGGGCAAGGACCATTAGTCGACTAGTGGTTGATTTGTGACGTACCTTACGCCTGCGCACTGATAGCAACGTGCGAACGTCTCTTGTCAAACGCTGGTCAAAATGTCATCGCAAAACTTCTGGATCCTGGCTCTCTGCTAGCGTTATGAATGCGCACGGCTATTGGTTACCAGCGAAGCAACCAACCCCAGTAGGCTGGTTCCAAATAGTCGACTAGCGTAGTCAACCACCGTCGACTAGACAGAGTTCGGGCAAACGTTAGTTAACCATTGGTCAACTATAGTCCTTGCGCGAACTTGGCCTAGGTTGACTCGCTATTTGACAATGACACACCTCTCCAAGAGGTCATGGTGTCAGCAGCCTAGATCCTCACCTGACTGTCAGTCCCTCTCCACACGATGAGAGCACCATCTTGGGATCCAGAGACCAGCTCTGTCAGGGCCAGCTGTCCTCTCTGCTCCAGGAAGGGACACTCTATCCACTTGACGCAGTTGACTTTGCCTTTGTGACTGCTGAGTAGACCACAAATTTTCCCAGCTGAATCTGATGACTGCATAAAAAAAGGGGGGGGGAACTACTTTGGAGTTAAGCCTGGTTCATACTGCATGCGAAAGCGAATTCGAAGCGAATTTGATGTCATGAAACGTTCGCTGCAAAATTCACCCGAGTTGAAATATGTTCAACTTTTGCAAATACTCTCCATGACGTCACAAGTTCGCATTCACTTTCCTGCAGAGTATAAACCGGGCTTCAGAATTTTTCTAGCTCCTTCGACTGCGTAGGCCGTAGCCATTGAATTTTAGGGCAGGGTGGGGGGGGGGGGGATCTTCCAGTTTTCTGCAATTACCAACAACCATCTTATCTATTTCAATATTTCAACAATATTTCAGACAAATACATGCAAGACTGTGACAAACTGACATGCAAAATAAGACTAAGATTTTTCATGGGGAAATAAAGTCCAACACAAGGTAACAACCATCTCTTTCAAACATTTATGGAAAAAGTCTTGACTGAGTGACAATGTTCTGCATATTGCAAAGGCGCAAAGGACGCCCCATAGTATTGCACACACAAAACTTTAAAAGTCAACATGGTCTACGAATCATGTCAATTGCAGTCTTAAAATCTTCAGACAACAACTAAAATCTTACCTCTGTTTCGTACAGTGCTACATAATTAAATGTACCAAAAGCCACGAGTCCATTAGCGCCCCAGTGCACACAATGTGGAACTCGATTGCAGGAACAACTGATGTAGCATGTGTCCATGGAGGCCGCCATCTTGAAATATTACCCACGATGCTTCACGCAAAAAACGCGCGAAATTCACACGTGTGTGGGCGCGACCAACAAGAGCGTGAACTTCATTGGTCAATAGTTATTCAATGACATCACTGAGGGAGGGGCTACTTGTTGTAGTGACGTACTGGGGACTTTTTGGATTTTTACTAATGTTCCTTACGTGTACAACTCGACGTCAAAAATGTAAAAGGGGCTGGCCAAGTGAAAATTTTTAGCATATCATGCATATACATTGATTGAATGGAAGGGGGGGGGGGTAATTTTTAGGGGCCGGGGGGGGGGGGGGGAGAGAGATTGAAAGGAAAGAATGTTGCAACCTGACGCCATTTTTTTCATCATATATCATCTCAATAAAGGTCAGTCATTGCAAAAATGTTGAAAAGACATGAATCCTGGACTGAGAAATTTCCAATTTTGTTAGGAATACTTTTTTTTATAAATAAATTTTCTTGACTCTCCATAGAGTTTGTACACAAACATCTGGATACTGCATTCTTTCCGAGATGAATAAACAAAAATTAAACCAAAAAAGTTGCTTAAATCATCGTTATGCATATGCATTTATTATAAATCTGATTTAACATAATACAGTATTTCAAAGAAAACTGGTACCATCATATCAAATTCTTCTGTAAAATATTAGAAATAGTTGAGAAGGAATTTGCGCAACGTATTTGACTTCAAAGGTATTTTGTGTTGAAATCCACGAAAGAATTCAAGATTACTGCAAGCGTTATTTACAAAAATTGTTCGCAATCATTCTAGTGAAATGCTTGCTGGAAAGTACTTCATAATTACACTATTTTCCCTTTGCATTCTTACCCAGTGTACATTTTTTTCCAGCTTTTTAAAATCTAAAATAAGATAGAAAAGGAATCAGTTAATTCCTTACAGACATTGTACTTATTAAGCTAAATGTTATAATACCAAAAACAAAACATCTTAAGATGATTACGTTTGTAATAAATGCACAACAGCTGTAATTAAAACAATCTAAGAATTCGAAATTCTTCAATAACTATTTCCTTTTTCTTTTCAAAATTTTTACAATTGCCTGTTGTATAAATGTTGTAAGTTATAAAAATGATAATAAACATGGGCAACACTACAGTGGATTTTCATGGAATATCGATTTGTCTTGTTCCTAGAAGTCACAACTGTTGTTGGCAACAACACACTCTCAAAACCATTCTATTTGTGTTATAAAAGAAATTTAATCTTTCTTTAAGTTTGTTTTTGCAAAAAGAAAAAAGGACAAAAGCCAATATAAATGACACAATAACATAAGGTTTCACACATGGGTATACCTCATTTTAAACCATACAGACTTGCGACAGAAATAAATGCTGCTTTGCCCAGTTACTAATCGGGCAAGTCCAAAAGCTCAAACTGAGAAATGCAGTCCATGAGCCAGGAAACGGGCGCTGTGCACAATTTCCCCGTCCTGACTCTAGGGGGTGCCCTGCTACCAATGTGGTCATGGATGATGTAGTACGAGCATGCTGCGAGATCGGACCCCGCTCGCGCGTGGTACGGTATCGTCGTCGAGGCCTGGACAATGTCGTCGTCCGGTTTGGGTTGCCTGTTGAGGATCCTCCCGCCGCCGTTTTTGATCAGCTGGATAATTTCGTCTTTGGAAGGGGTCGGGGGGCTGAACGTGCTGTACAGGTAGAAGTGGCAGCCGTCCAACAGACTTGGGAGCTGGAAAGCAAGAATCGATCAAAATTTGAGAAGAAAAAATTTCAATGATTCAAATTGATTGGGAAGGCCTTTAAAAATGGACCGGCCGACATGTCAATCAAACAGTGCTCAAAACTGTCGATTGACCAATCAGATGAAGACTTTTGGTCGGGTGGCCAGCTGGTCAGGTGACCAAGCACTGTGAGTAATGTACACAAGCCAAGAGTGGGCGGGGCTTATGGCCAAATCGGGAACGGTTCATTGGAAAGTCCAACTACACCAAAGTACAATAATTTTTGAATAAGACAATGAAAGAAAAGAATTGGCCAACGTTTATCTGTAGAAGAATTACTTTAAAACTTTCGAATTGCAGCACAACCATAATTCAGTTCTCGTAGGTTAGACTGGTGTCTGCCTCCAATTAGAATCAATATTGTAGAGACCAGGAACCAGTCTATTTGTAGGGTAAACCGTTTATTTGTTAAAATAAAATTCTCAAATGGTGAAATTTTGTTGGGAGTAAAAAATTGATTTTACTGCAGAAATAATGATGGTACGTCTTGATCTTAAAGGACACATGCAGTCCAAAATTTTCATAACGTATTTTATTTTATATATACATTCATTTATGTGTATTAAATGTGAATTAAAAGCAGAAATGGTTCTGGTGTACGTTTAGTGTGGTAATTTGCCGTCCAAAATTGAACCCCCCTTTTTGATTTTCACGGCAACTCCAAATGAGGGCGCTGTTCATGACATAAACAAAGGCAGAGAAATCCAGGGCCCGTAAATGACGTCTGGGTACGAGACGGATTAGCGAAGCTACTGTGCTGTGTGTATGTGCAGCCGCCGCGTACCCGTACGTGGCATTATATGCACACGTACGAATGTGTCTACATGTACATGGGATATGTACAGTACACGTGGACGTGCCACGGTGCCACCGTTGTCGAATGAACACAACGACGACCGTCATGACCGTAAAAGTTCCGAAGACCGTCCTCTTCTTTCCTTAGCAAATCCGATGAAAATGGTACAGATTCGTCCGATTCCAATCAGAGTTCTAATGATTCAAACACTGACTCGATGTTTTTTTAGGGGCATGCCCAAGTTGCTGTACAGACCAGCATCAAAGCACGACGGCTCAAAGTGCAGCGCAGAGGGCCGCGAACTCACTGGGCCCGGACCACTTTGCTCTGGTATTTACCTTCACTTTGGCTCTCCAAATGCTCCGATATTTCGGATTTACTGGAAACAAATGAAGGCTTACTCCATCCTTGGTAGTTTTGCTACACCCAGCAGCCACACACCTTGTCGGCATGGCCGAAAATCGGGTGTTATTTCTCCTCGATTCCGAACGAAACACCAGAAAAACTTTCAGTGCCGCAATGTATATGTACATGTATTATGATGCACGCCGCAATGCCGGTGCCCCCACAGCGCGGCAAGTCTCTGCCTTCGCTTGCGTCATACCCCTCGCGAAGTTTTATGTTAATGAAGCTTCCCTTTGTGGGGCGGAGTAGTTTGACCAAACATGTTCACAAATTATTTTCCCCCATTTATCTTAGAAAATAAACACCGCCATACACAAAATATTGTTAAGAACATCATCCTTTATTGATTTAAGCAAAAAAAATGCAATCAAAATTTTATTGCATGTTCCCTTTAAAGATGGCTTGATCTACCAATGTTCCATTATAGCAAAGACAATGTACCTGCTGTTCTGCATTCTTGCGACCCTTCTCTGCTCCGGCACTAGAGGGCAGTGTTGTCGTTCCCTTGACTTCAAATTTGGTCTCAGCCGCTCGTGATTTTTTTTTTAGACATTCCGTTATCCCTGACAAAAAAAAGTAGAGTTAGTAAGTTGTAATTGAGATAATATATTGCCAAGAATGACTATAAGCCAGCTGATCAGGGGTAATAAAATTATGCGAAGGCTTGATTAATAAATCAGGATTTCACAACTTTAGGCCCCCCAAAAAAGTCTCCGGTTTCTGGTATGGAGCTTGCCCAAAAAGTGGTGCGGCGACGCGGCTTTTTTTTTTTTTTTAACCTGATTTTTTTGCTTCAAATGTCGGCTGATGACTGCAAATGGTGCCCGACTAAACTTAGTGCAAATATATGGGAGTCCAGAGAGGCCACATAAAGCTTATTCTCGACCATAACCCAATCTAAAAACACCTTAAAATTGTGCAGCAGCAGGATTCCAGTCAAACCAGTGAGTTTGGCGGTTTTGAGACATCATCTTTCATTGAAAAAGAAACTTTTTCATTTTGCCGACGCGCATGGCTACGGCGACGCGCATACCAGAAACCGGAGACTTTTTTTTTTTGGCGTTATGGTGCGTATGTTGATTTGGTTTTTGAACATAATAGGATCATTGGCATTTATCCCAAAAGTAGTCTACCAAATTATTATCAAAAAGCTTGCTTTGATTAAAGATCGTACTGGTACAAAACATCCCGTGAAATTATTCCGTCTGGCTTGCTGTCATTTTGAAGAAATCAAGACATGTAGGTGATTTCCAACGATCAGTCAATCGACAGATTTTTGGAAATAAAGACTGCTACAGATAAAGTTGTGTTTTAAACCAGGTTGCACATGGATTTCCATTTCGAAAAAGTGTAACATTCACTGAGCTGAAACTTCAACAGGTTAGGTTTTGAACATTCATCTTTGGATTTTGAGTGGTGTTATTGGAAATGAACAAAATCCATGAAAAGCAAATGATCACATATGCCTTAAAGGGAATATACATTATTTGCTTTTGCTGTAATTTTCAGAAATGGATGGAATTGGGGGGTTGGAAATATATAGCAAATATAGTTACACTGACTTTTTTGAGGTTTTGGGTTCGAAAATGCTATAAAAACCAAGAAAAACAATCATTTTCCTGTAGTCTGGTTCCCTGACTCCATATAAGAAGAAACAGAGCAGTTTACATACATTGTGGAATTGTAAGGTCAGGGAGCCAGTCTAGCTGGCTCGTACCCGTTCATAGGTGTGTAATCGATTGCAAACAAGTGCGATGGTCAATTGGGGCCAGTATTTGAAAAAAAAGCCAGTTTTTTCCAACACTGATCGGCCGATCAGCGTTGGAAATTGATACCAAAATACCACTTTTCTTGAAAATGACAGTATACCAGGTGCCATGATTTTACAGGATGCTTTACACTGTCATTCACTAACAGTCCAGCAAGGTATTTCAACATGATTTGGTAGTTTTATTTTTTTATGTTTGCAAATGTTGTAATTTCCCTTTAAATCATGTATAGGATATCCACATGATACTTGTCTGGCAAAAGTTTGTATATTTGCCTAGAAAAAAGTGGGTTTTTTTTTACGTTTTGTTCAATGTAATACTTACAGTTGAAGGATACCACCCACACCCCGGACAGTATTGCATTCAGGTACTTCATGGTGCGCATGCACAAGTCGTCACGGTTACAGGAGGCGACAAGATGGGTGACTCCTAGCCCGAACTCGCTGATGACACGCCCGCCTCCGAGAAGCTTGGCGCAGGCTTGAAGTTGCTTCCGTTCAGTGTCCTTCAGACCTACAATTCAAGAAATATAAAAAAAAATTTCAAACAATGAAATAAACTAACAGCCGTTTAAGGCTGTCGTTCCCAAGTTGCGCTGATTCAAAATGTATTTTGAGGAACTCGGGTTGACAAGATTAGTGTTTGGTTTCAACTGGGCAAACGTTATTTGGGTCAATGCACAAGTACCCCCTCAACGGTAAGAAAGGGAGAGGTGGGGGAGACCACTGGGAGAGACATTCGAATGCATTGCTGACGATGCCTGACACTCTCGCGCCGGACACTATGGCTTTGCGCACCTTCAGAATAACGTGCGTTCTTCGCACCATTTGCCCAAACAAGTACGCGCTTGTAGTGTACGTTTCCATCCACTAGGCTCTTCAAAGAGGTTAAATGGCGCCCTCTCTTGTTTGCTCTCGGAGCCCATACTTATTTTTCATTGACCGAACTCCGGAGTCATTTTGAATGACTGTAACAAGTCAATCATTTGCATGAAGTTGCTCCTAATTGTTCCAAAAGTCGAACTTAATTTTAATCTTTGGAATGTAGTTTGGCAGGATTTGCAAAATAGGTGTCAATGACAATTGTAGCTGGAAGATAGTTTTGATGTTTAAAAATAATTATCAATATATATGAATTAGAATATATTTTTCAATATAAATAAACTGACTGTTCTCCAAAAATGTCGTACTTAAAAATGTGCTCACCTTTTGAAGCAACCTTAAAAAGTGCATGTTTAAGAAACTCCGAAAATGATTGAAATCTAAAAAAAAAAAAAACACCAGGAATCTGACTAGGTTCATTTTTTATTGGTTCATGGTTGAGCAAAGAAATTGACTACAACAGGCTTCGAACCTACGACCTTCAGAACAACGTGCATATATTAAACTGAGCTAAAAAAAATTCTAGTGTTTAGATGGTTGTAAATGCCTGTTTCAACTTTAAACTTTGATCGCTTTTTTGAAAAATTTACGAAGTAACTTTCAAACCTGTGCCCAGGAGAACCACTGGTTGGTTTCTTGCAAGCACTGACTTCTGGGATACGGTCGCCATGGTGTTGGTCGTCACGGCAACCAGAGGTTTGGTCCCCATTGCCTTCTTCATTGGTTCTGATTTCGCATAATCTGCTGGGGTCAGTCCGTGCATGTTCCTAAAAGAAAACATTGAAGCAGAAAACAATCAAAAATATATATATTGGAGATACGAAAATGAATTGAGCTGAAATTTTCGATTGGTCTGAAGGATCAAATATTGACGTTTTAAGTTTTGTGAGGACTTTTGAGGACTTGTAAAGACTTGTGAGACTTTGCGATGTACTTGTGAGGACTTTGGGGGACTCATGAGGAAATGAGAGGACTTACGACAAACTTTTTAGGATTTTGTGGAGACTTGTGAAGATTTCTGAGGGACTTGTGAGGACTTTTGGAAACTTCTGAAGACTTGTGAGACTTTGTGATGTACTTGTGAGGACTTTGGAGGACTCATGAGGAAATGAGAGGACTTGCGACATACTTTTTAGGATTTTGTGGAGACTTGTGAAGATTTCTGAGGGACTTGTGAGGACTTTTGGAAACTTCTGAAGACTTGTGAGGACTTGAGATGTACTTGTGAGGATATGTGATGTACTTGTGAGGACTTGTGAAGATTTGTGAGGACTTGTGAGGTCTTGTGAGGACTTCAAGGATTTATGAGGACTGTCGGTGAACTTTCGAGTACTAATGAAGAATTGATGAGGACTTGCAATGAACTTGTAATTGATTGACTTTTGAGTACTTGTGATGGACTTGTAAGTATTTGTGCTGACTTGTGGGGACTTGAGATGTACTTGTGAGGACTTGTGATGTACTTGTGAGGACTTGTGATGAACTTGTAAGGCTTTGTGATTGACTTGACTGCAGCACTGATTACAGATAAAGATTTTTACATACCTGACGTCGAGCGCGGCACCTCTCTCCAGCAGGAGTTTGACAACGTCCAGTCGGTGGTTCATGACAGCATCATGGAGGGGTGAATCGTGCTCAAAGCCTGGAGTGTTGATCAGGGAGCCGTGGTCCAGCAAGAGGGAGACGATAGATGCGTGACCGTGGTTACAGGCCTCATGCTATTTTAAAAATAATACAAATAAAGAATTTCTCTTCAATTTTTGAAAAAAATTATCCATGTTTCTTTCGGGTTAAAAAAAAAACTGGTATTACTTAATGGCACTATACAGCTATCACAAATTTGATTAAAAGATTTTTGTTTAAGGTTTTGTCAAAATGCAAAGTACAGTAGTGTCAAAGCTCATATTTTGGCCAAAATGTTCAAAAAGTATTTGTGAGTTTTTACTCTTTTTTAAGGTATTTTCTTTGATTGTCAAGGACTGTAACCATGAAATCCTATACAGTTTTCCAATTCTTTGGTCGCATTGTGATTTCCAATAATTTTCCAAACATTGTTCGGAGTCCTCAAGTTTTCCGTATTTTTTTGGTAAGTTTTCCATGAGTTTTCCATGTGACTTCCATGATTATTTCTTTGGCTTACCAATGGGGTCCATCCGGCATTGTCCTTGACATTGGGATCTGCGCCTTCCAGTAGAAGTTGCCTTGCCATGTTGATGTCACCCTAAAAAAAACAAAGAAAGCAGACGTCAAGCTTAAATTTGCTCACCAATTCGAACTTTAAAAAGGAAGAAATTGGTTCAACATTGGAGAGCATCTCTTTAAAACTTAGTGGACCATCGAACACTTTTTGAAACTGCATTTTAGAACTAATTTCAAGTGAATTTAGGTAAGTGAAATTTCTGGCTTATTTTCCCTAGAAAAAAAGTCATTTAGTTTAAGGTAAATCTAAATTGAAAACTGTAAAATGCTTTGTGGAATAGATTTTTTTTTTAAATTAAATTTCATATGTTAATTACTGACTTTAATGACAGCGACGTGAAGTGGCGTCTCCCCTCGTTTGTTTCTCTTCACGGCAACACCGCCATTTTTCGGTGAAGTCTTCGTCGTAGTTTCTGAGCTACGACGCTTCTCTGATGAGTCTGGTGCCACACCTTTCTTTCCACTCCTTGGTCTGTCAGTAGTGCCCTGGGTGGTCTTGGCGGAGGGTGGCAGGGTACTAGACTTCCTTCTTGTTTGAGTGGTCGAAACAGTTTGGAGCTCATTTTTGAGCGACAAATTTGAATTTCTCAAGCTTCGTTTGCCGTTTCGTCCCTCATTCTTGTTGTCTGCTCCCTCGAGTGGCGGATTGTTTTCCAACGGAGTCGATTCTTGGGTCTTGCCGCGTCTTTTCTTAGGGGGTGAGGAAGTGTCTTTTTCTGGCGCCTGGGGAGCTGTCTTGGATGACCTGTCTCTCGTTCGCCTTGTGCTTTTCATCGGCAGTGGCTGAGGCTCACTCTGTTTTGAAAGGACAGTTGATTCTACTCCGTCTTTGCTAGATCTGGGTAGTTTCCTTTTAGGTGCTGTGGTGGTAGAGGGTTCCATATCTTTGGGAGTAGAGATGGGAATATTAGAAGCTTGAGTAATTTTCTTTGTCAGTCTTGAGGAGAACTTTGTTGGCTTGTTGTTGTCAGGTGTTAATTTTTGTTGGACGTCTTGACTTTCAAAAGCTCTGTTGGGCTTTGTCAGAGGAGTGTCTACTTTGTTGCTTGCAGGGAGATCTTTGTGGTTTGAGGCGTCCAGATTGGTTGCCGTGCTGTAACCACTTTCCTGGGTACCGCTTGGCGTTTGGACCGTCTCAACGAGGCATTCTTCTTGAGAGGAGATTTCCATGGCTTCTACGCTACTGGAGTCGCAAAGCAAAGTCCCGCTCTGATCCGCGTCGATTGAGAACGAGACGTGACGCAACGATCTCTCCGAGTCGAACCCGCTCTCCGATTCCTCGCTGGCTTTTGCGTCGAAATTTCCACGTAGCCATTTGCGGTTGGCCGCGGCAACGCGCTGTCTCTTTGCCGTCTTTGGGTTGGGTTTCCTGGCCCGTTTCTTGGCGGCCGGTTTTGGGCGCTGCGGGGAGGCCACAAAGTCGTACACGGACATCGGATTGATGATTTCATTCTCGCTACTTGAAGAGGCGATGGCTGGCGCTTTATTCCTTTCGTTTTCCTGGACGACCGAACGTCCGCCATTTTGTTTGTCTGCCTTTGTTTGTTTTTTCTTCTGCTTCTGGCCAATGCCCTTGGATAAAAATTTCTGTTTCTCCTGCATATTGGATTTTTCAAATCTTGGGGAGACATTTTTTGTCTGTAGAGCTTTTCTGTCCACTCCTTCCGTCACCATGACTACTTGATCGCTATTGGTTGTGTCGCGCACCTCAATTTGTTCAGTTACCATGGTAACCTCTTTGTCCCCACCACTGCTTTTGCCATCTTGGTCGATGATGGAACAAAGCTTCTTGTAGAGACCAACGACGCTGTCTAACTCACGCTTAAGTTGGAGGTCTTTCACCCAGGCTGTGGCACAGCAGATGGGGCATTTCTCCCCCAGATAGACATCCACACAAGATCTAAACAAGGCGTAAAGAACAATTGTAAAAAAAAAAAGTATCATTAAAAGGAAAAGACATAAACAGTGGGGAAGTTTTAGGAGAGGAATTTCAAACATTCTTATTTTGTTGGATAAATGGAAAGAATGTTGCAACTGGACGCCACTTTTTTCTTCATAATATATCATCTCAATAAGGGTCAGTCATTGCAAAAGTGTTGAAAAGACATGAATCTGGGACTGAGAAATATTTCCGATTTTGTTAGGAAATACTTCACAAATTTTCTTGACTCTCCATAGCCTTTGAACATAACTGCTGAAGTGGCGTCTGGATACTATATTCTTTATGGATTAATATAGTTGACAAAATGATAAAAATGATACACAATGGTACAAATCCAAATACCATAAGATTAATCAAAAAGAACCTTTAATTTGTCCTGAAAACACAAGACATTAATTGCAAAGTCATTTCACCTGGTGCGATCGTATTGATGGTCTTACCTGCAAAATAGGTGATCACAGGACCCTAACATGCACGGTTCTTGAAGGAGTTTCTTACTGCAAATAAAAAGAGAATTGATTATTTAAACACTTGATAGTCTCATTTAACACAGCCATATTGCAGTTGCAGAGTTGTGAGCTGAGTTGTAAATTTATTTGGCATGTTAGGCTTTTCTTGAATTTGTTTTGGCCAAGTATCCCAAATTTCAGTCTTCATTATTTTGGGGCATGTAACTTTGTGGCACAGGCAGTCGTAGATATTAAGATTGACAATTAAATGCAGAAATGGTATGCAAAAATTGTAGCAAGTTTTTCAGCTCAGTTTACTTGCCAAAAGATAGTGGATATTTAGCCTTACAAACATGGCCCACCCCTCAGATCTCGGCCATCGAGTGACAAAAAATTATGAAACTCAGTAGGCCTACACGCATAGTAGGTGGCATAGGCTACCCATGGGCTACCTAAGAAATTTCATGACTAGGCTATATGGAAAGGTCAAGGGTTTTGAAATTATGGGTAAAGCATTAATTATTCATATGCACCAATGGCAATTATGCTTTGTGTAGGCCTACACGTGTACGGGGAAATTAAGTTTTGAAGGCGCATACTGGGCATAGATCAGACCGGAAAATGTTTCACTGTGCGGCAACCCGTGATTGAAATCTATATTTTTGTTGGTATCAAAAGATGCACAAGACTCTAGACTAGGCTAAAAAAACCCAGGACAGCTTCGGTCGCGAAAAAAATTTGCAAGGGTAGGCCTATTGCAGAAAAGGCGCCCGGCCCTTTATTTTAGGGTTAACAAATGCACTTCGACATGTTCGATCAATCGATCGGAGGCCAGCATAGCTGACTTTATACACACAACAAACTGCATGAACATCATGAACATGAAGATCCGAGAATTACACAACACAAACTCTCCAAACATTCCCGAACTATTCTTACCAAACTCCACATCCTAACGCTTTCTCCAGCTTCCCGATAGCTTCTTTTGTACACTGCCAATCACAAGCTTCCATATTTCGACAAAGCAAACCAGAACGTTTTGAAAATAAACCTTTGAAATTACTTCAGTTTTTCAGAAACGATGAAAGATCCGAGAATGAAAATACGCGCCAGAGTTATATTTTTCTTGTCAAGATCAACAGAGGGCGCTCTTCCGAATGTACGGCCCGCCGCCGCCGCGGCCCCCCCCCCCCCCCCGCCGAAAAAAACCCTTTTTTTCGCAGAAATACAATAAGACAATTAATATTTTCTCCAACCTGGATCTATATATGTCTGTTCGAGGAACAGACATAGGGCTTTTCTGCATTATTTTTTGTATGACTTGACCCTTTGTTTTGAACATAGTTTCATGGCTCATTTGTAGTTCTCCAGATATACACTGAAAAATTGCCTGGGTTAATTTTACCCAAGCAAGGGTGAAAACTGCTAACTACCCCAAATTGTGTTATATGCTTTACCCAATTGTTAAATATATAATTTGTTTAATTCAACCAAAACTTGTGGTCATACAAGACCAAGAAAACTTAGTATATATTTTTTTAAAAGTCTAAAAAGTTCTTCAGGACGGACCCAGGACCTGAACCCAGGAATCTTCTGGGCTCGAGTCGTGGGCTCATAGCTCCTACTCAGCCAACTACTGGCTCAAGAAATTTCTTTTGGACTATAAAACCTTAGGTTAACGCATTGTAAAATTAATTATAAATTTGTACATGCCAATAAGCTAGATACCAGTATATATGCTAATTTCTGGACTAAGAAAACGAGGTGGATAATCAGTCCAAAATGGGGAATTCTTCCTCAATAATTCACTTTACTATGGCTAAAAGTTTTAACTTCTTTAAAAAACCTTGCCTGAAGCATTATTTTTGGAAGTAATAATTTTTGGAAAATATTGTGAGGCCAAAAAAGGACAAGGAAAAAAAAAAAAACAGCAACAGAAGTAAAACTATGCCAACTTCTCTCCAATTTATTCCCATTGATTTTTTTGTTGTTGTACAGGGTGTATATTCATGGGCGTCGCCAGGATTTTTTCTAGAGGGGGGCAAAAATTTTGTTTTGCCAAAAAATGCTTGTATTTCTCAACACATTCTCGATTTATCAGTTTTAGAGGGGGGCAGGGACATTTTGCCCCCCCCCCCCAACCCATTAAATTTACACCACTTTGTCTTCGTGCCTCTTTTTCTTTTTTCTTTTTTTCTTCTTTTTTTTGGTCCTTTTCCCGGGAGGTGCAAGTGCCCCCCCCCCTTGCCCCCCCCCCCTCGTGACGCCCATGTGTATATTGTTAAATATTTAACGGTTAAACAAAGTAGACACGACAATAAACAACATATCAATAGCGGCTAAGCCAACTTAATAATGAATCAGGTATTCTGAAAATTAAGTAGGAATGTTTTTAGTTTATATTTGAAATATTCCTTGAAGGGCAATTAGTTAAAGACGGTGAAAGACAGTTCCAGTTTTTTGGTCCAGAGAAAGAAATGGTATGTTGAGAAAGGGTTGTTCTGACTTGAGGTATATGTAATTTGGATGAAGACCTAGTATTATAATCATGTATGGATCTAAACTGAAAAAAAGTTGTGTAACAATTCAGGAAGTTGGTTGTTTTATACAAATTTATACATAAAAGCATCTTGTTGAAAGACATTAATATTGGCAAGACAAAAGCGTGTGTTTCCTAAATAAAGGAGTGGTGTGTTCATTAAAATGCACCTTACATAGAATACGAATTGCCCTTTTCTGTAAGTTTAATCAATTTGTCAACATTTGACTTGTAAGTGTTGGCCCAAATAATGTTACAATAAGAGAGGTAAGAGAGAACTAATTAACAGTATAGGGCACGCAGAATGCTCTTTTCATTGAACGGAAAACCCATGTTTGGCTTTAACCGCAAATATTCATTCATATAACACTAGAACTGCTTCAAAGTAAAATCGTTGTGTTTGTTGTAAGTGTCACAGGGTAGTATAACTTCTGGTGCTCTGCTGGTGCTCTGGCCGGCATTCTTCAGGGAGGCAGAGTGTTGATCATCGGCCGAGTGCCCTGTCAAGTTGGAAACATACCCGGAGGTGCCGGTCGCAAATCCAACAGTGCCCCCAATGTCGGGTTCATCCTCAGGAGGGCCCTTTGGAGACGGTTTTTGTCCAGCTCCCAACTGAAATACATTCATACGTATTCATTAAGTACTTGGGATATCTTCGAAGTGGCAATTATTTGTGAATATATTTAATGAAGTTATACAGTGTGTAAAAAAAAAGTGGTCCAAGATGAAAATACTAACCATCCTAGCATGCTCTGTGCTTGTGAAGTTCCATTCTTCCATCGATTGAGATTCAACTGTACATAGATTAGAACAAAGATGTTAAACTAACAGTGTGTTGATAAGTCATCGCACATGACAAAGGAACCCAAGATTTAAGGGCAAGTGCATCCCTGAATATGGTATTTCTGGTTATTCATGTATTCAGGTCAAACGCTGCCATTTGGTGTATAAAAACACCGACACCCAGTCTGCAATTGCTGTAATGTAGCTTGCTTAAGGACATGGAGCTAATCTCATTGGCTGGGATTCTTGCAACAAATTTTCACTATGAACCATGATATCTGCACAGGGACCAATGAATTATGAATATTCATGCCATTGGTACCTATCACTTAATCGAAGGGTTTTGTGTTATGTTCTACAGGTTTGTCCTATATGGAGCTGAGGGCCTCCATAGCTGTTCTGCACACCAGTCGATCTCATTTTAAAAAGGCTAATTATTATTCAGATAAAACATGCATATTCATGAGGCTGGAACCTACCACTTAAGTCCAAGGGGTTGCTAGATTTGTCAGGCATCAAGTTGGAGGCTGTCCAGCTGTTCTGCCATGCATCGCTCGGGCGGCTGTTGAGCTGCAGATCAAAGTTAGCAGCATTCCGACTTGATTGCCGAGCCACGTTGTGGGGACTGACCGACGATGTGCCACTGCGGACGTCTGACGACCGACGTTGGAAAGCTCCCTCGTTGAAAATCTTGGGACTGTCGGGGTCCTTGGGGGGTCCATACATGTCCTCCTCCTCCTCGACTTCCATCTCACTGTTAAAAAAAAAATCACAAGATGCAAACAAAGAGTTTTGTTTCTGGTTTGGTTCAAATTGGCGAAAAACCACCCAATTTGGAACAAGTTCAGATGAGTACCAGCGCACAGCTGATAGATTTTGGCATACAAAATTGTGCACCATAAAGCTTGCTCTACGAAATGTTTGCTTAATTACCGACTGTCATGAAATGAAACACCAATGACGCACCAAAAACAGAAAGTTGACTGTGGCAAAAAAAAAAAACTTCTGGCAACATTTGATTCAGTTGGCAGTTGTCACACTGCAGCCTCTACCTTAAATGACATCAAGGTTTTGCTCATGATCAAAAATGAACAGTTTGTATTGGCACAACAAGTTAAAAATGCCCCAAAAGCCCTTAAATAAGCAAGACAAACATAAAACATGAAGCTACAAGAATGCATTTCAAACAACATTCAATTTAGTGCAGGCACGGTTCTAGAGCCAATATTTTTGGGGGGTTAGCAGGGTGGATCCAGAATCTTTTTTCAGGGAGGCATGCTCAAATGTAGACCAGTTATTTTCTTCGGACACTTAGGCCTCCGAAAGTCCTACAATCAGGCACACTATATTAACTAAGAGTGTTCAAATGCACCCTTCTCACTACCATTTATTTAGGGGGAGACAGTTCGCATGTACGTCACATTCTTACATATTGCTAGTGCTTTTTTTTTTTACGGAATTTTTTTTTTGGGGGGGAGGCTAGACAAAATTGGGGGGGGGGGGAGGCTAGACAAAATTGGGGGTGGGGGGAGGGGGCTACAGCCCCCCTAGCCCCGCCACTGGGAGAGTGGGGTAAAACAGTACCCACTTAATATCTCGAACACGGCGTAGTGCCATCTAGATTTGACTATACATAGTATCATTGGGCTAAAATTGGCCTGAGAAGTTGTGTGCCTTTTTACCCCACTCTTCCCTATCTCTCTCATTGCCGCTCCTGTGGGAATACTTGTGTGGGGATTTTATTGACCAACTTACATTTGTTCATCTCGTCTGGTGTCAGCATCGGTGGTTATGCACAGAGTGGAGAGCGACACTTCATGAGCTGGTCGGTTGGCCGGGGGACAGTCTTGTTGAGGGAACCGATAGGAGTCGTTCTTGGGACCACGGGGGGTGAGCGGGAAGGCATGCTGCACGTCCATCAGCCCTGGCTCAGGTTTACCACGCTCAGTGGCAAGGGTCCTGCAGAGCTCATTCACTGTTGAAAAAATTTTTTTTAAGAAACTTTTTTTAACTTTCATGCTAACATCGTAATAGGATTGTCCTTAACCAGTTTGCGCCGGGATTATTTTGACATTGACCGGGTAGGACCCGATGGGTTCAGGCCGTCATCTGCGGGTAGCACACCCTGATATTTCTGGCCTCGCTTGCTGCGAGTGGGTCACTGACCGATATTTTCGGTCTCGCTCGTTGCATGTTCATCCATCATCTATTCTGAATGCCGCTAAACCTTTGCGTATATACACGACATCCGACGTGAACTGTTTGAATGTAGCCTAAGTTAATTCAGTGACTAATTTTGTTGGATCCCACATTTCAAGAATGTAAATAAGTACCGTTGTTTACTTGTTTGAAATTGTCTGGCATGAGGTTTGTTCGGCGAGGCTGGCCATACCGAGTATGGCCAGCCATGCAAAACATTATATATGGGTATTTATGAACTCAGCCATTTCTCAAATGTTGGTTTTGTCATCAAGGTTGCCTTCAGGCTAGAGCTTCATGATCCTGATCTCTAGGAGACACTGGCTCCATTCTTTTTCTGGTACAGGCAGACAGGAGCAACGGAAATTTGCAATACAAAGCCACACTTTGGAGCCTGTTCATTTGGTACCAGTGTTGTAGCCTAAGCTCAGAGGAAGCCAGGGTTTGACAAATGGCCTCGTTTCATAGGAACGGCATCTTTTTTTCTCTCTTTGACACCAGGATGTGTAGAAAGAGTAAACAGGTGAAAGTTACTCACCGATTTTTAAGGCTTGGGCTGCTGTCAGCTCTCCACTGACCATCTGAACAACGAGGTGACGCACGTCGGGATGCACGTTGTGGGATAAGAGCACAGTCTTCTCAATTTGACAGACATAAGAAAAAGTTTGTTGAGTTAGAAACGCTGGTGATTGGGCCGAAAAATATTTCATACGACATTGCCCAGTTGTAAATAGTTTTATGTCAGAACAGAAAAAAATCATGAAATTCAGCCTTTCCTATAAAACCATTGGTTTTCATTTGAAAAGAAAAGGGCATCTTTTGGAATACGGTAAATTTCAAAATACATTTTATTTCACAAAATATGTGTGTTAGGCTCTGTGACTACAAATTTGTATCCTTGTGGAGACACACACACACAATAGGGAACAAAACATTGTAAAGGTCTCCACAGGGCAATTTCTATAGATGAATAGGTCTCCACAAGGTTTTCACGAAATAGATATATGGGTTTTACTCAAAAACTAGGAATTTCCAAGGTGGGTTGATCTGTCGCAAATGGAAGAGTTTTAGAAAAGGGATATTAAGTCCAAATTTCAGCCAAGGAAACTAATTCTGGTTAAAATAAGAGCATTTTGAAACTTCACTTTCAAAATTGAACACTTTACTACACGAGAACAAAGGAATGTCTCCACAAGGATACAAATTTGAGAGTGGGTGCGTGCGTGTGCGTGCGTGCAAGCAATTAGTTTTCCCACCATAACTTGAGAACTTGACATAACAACCTCAAACTTGGTATGTGGGTTGGTCTTGGTGTCCCCTGTCGGTCCCAGGCATCAGTACAGTATGTGGTACAGAAGTGAATACGTCACGCGTACAACATGTGTGTGAAAGACATTAGCGCGTGATTCAGCCCGTGAACCAGCACGCGCGCGTACTCCATTCGTTTGCACTACACTTTCTGGTTCTAAATGACGTCACACTTCGGTGCTCCATTACCTGAACAAAACAGTGAGCCTGATAGTTCAAAAGGGTGGTGCCATATCATGGGATCAGATATACAGTGACGGGGCATTTGTGTTGGAGAACACACCTTCTCTTGTTTTTTCCCCCTGTCATTAAGTACAGTTTGTCTGCTTAAAGAGGTTGTGGAATGCTCGAAGATATTTCCGTAATTTTTTGGGTATATGTAGCCTAAGGTGTGATGAAATAAAAACGACTATTGTTTCTGTCATGAAATGAGTACAAAAGGTACTTTTGAGAGCTTTTTTTCAGGTACTGTTTCGACCCGAACGTGCAATTTGGGTTAAAGTCGTCGTTGCGGGCAGCAAACAAAACACAGTAAATCGTGACGTAATAAACAGGACTCGTTTATGCTACTCTGCATCGGGAGTCCTGTTTATTACGTCACGATTTACTGTGTTTTGTTTGCTGCCCGCAACGACGACTTTTACACAAATTGCACATTCGGGTCGAAACAGGCATGACAGGACTTGAAAAACAGCTCTCAAAAGTACCTTTTGTACTCATTTTATGACAGAAACAATAGTCGTTTTTATTTCATCACACCTTAGGCTACATATACCCGAAAAATGACGGAAATGTCTTCGAGCAATCCACAACCTCTTTAAAAGCAGAGTACCTTCTTTGGATAATTTAAGTACTCAGCAGTAAATCTGGTTGAGAACCAGTTGCAGAGCCGTGATCATCGCATGAGGTTTTTCGGCTGGTATCTTGATAGCAAATTTCAAGTGATTTTACTGCCCTTGAGACTCACATTGATTTCGTCAAAATCCACTGGATGGCTGCAGCATGGAAGTCCAGTGATCATGTGTACCAAGGTGCAGCCCAAGCTCTGAACGTCCATACCATACAGTTGACTTTCTGAAATCATTTGAAGCAAAACAAATCACGATGAAAGATGATTCCTACGCCCCTGTTATCAATCCATGCATGTCAAACACTGTTTGTGCATGTGCAGCAGTCTGCCCTTCAATGCACAACATGCAAGTCGGGCTCCATGAACCCCCCCCCCCCCCCCCCCATCGAAGGTCGGCCACGCCCTTATTGCTTTGACAAAGGAGGAGCGTCAAGCCATGATAGGGTATGTTAAAAAGTTAACAAGGTGTGTCATCGGGGCATCTGTACTCTGGATATTGAATCTGTACCCTGGACAGGCACCAGACTATTTCGTACCCAATTATAACATTCAAGTGCTTTGGACATCCTAATGATCCAGTGCGAGAGAGAAGGTAGTGGGAATGCACTGCTCAATGCCGAGGAGACGAGGTCAGTTCACAGTCGTAGACACAAAATTAACCATTAAACTGGAGGATATGTAGCAGGTTTTTGCTTCTCACTGCTACGAGCGGGGTTTGATTCCCAGCTTGGGTCATATGTGAGTAGAGTTGTTTGATTCTCTCCTGTGCCACAAGGGTTTTTATTCGGGTTCAACAGTTTTTCATACTCTACAAAAAGTGAACGCTTTTGATCCGGCTGTGCTCCGTGGTCAGACATGGGTCGAATGGCAGCTGCCTAAGGCGCCTTGACATGCCCTTGGCTTAACCACGTCGTAGCTGCGTCCTTCACAATTCAGCTTCTCAGCTGCGAGTACGGACGATTAACCCTCCAAATTTTTATTCTTATATATATTTTTTAAAGGCAATCGCCCATGACAAGGCCAGAGGGCCACTCAAGTGTGGCCTACAAAGGAAAGTATGGAGAAAAAAAGTTACAGAGAGAGAAGATATCTATTCCCATAGATATCTTATATGCTATTAACCCCTCGCGTACGGGAAGCGGTAATGGCCGCGTCCGCTAATCCTCACTGGAATGCAGTTGCCAGCTGTGGTATGCCGTGGCACATGGCTAGTGGGTAGTTCCACAGCTGCTGCTTTTGTGCAGTCCCGCTACCACACAAAGGCTGTGCAGTCATGCGGGCCACTTGCTCTATGTGTGGAGGAATGTCCCCATTACGCCCCGTCCTTAAGGGGTTAAGTTATTTTGAAATCAAAGTACAGAAACTCTCTTACCGGCGGTTTCCGAGGCCCCATTGGGTGCAGACAGTCTCCTGGACAGGCCAAAGTCTATCAGCTGAACCCGGTCTCCAGGAAGGATCAGGATGTTGTCAGCTGCAGAACGAGAAAATTAAGCGAGCAGTTAGGAATGCTATTCCATTCTTTGCATGCACGGTAGAGGGCGCTATTGGTCTGGTCTATGAAAAGGATCAGGATTACTGTATAATGGGCTAAAGAATAAAAAATTAAATGGATTGCATAAACAGGAGTGCGGGCTCCGCAAAATGACAAAAATGGAGGAGGGGGGGGGTGCTGGACACCATCTTCTGATAGGGGGCGTTGTTCAAAGTGGACGTTCAATTTAAGACACTTTCGACAATGGGATCTGTGCGCCAACAAAAGAGGGTGCGTTTTTACCCACTTGAGAACACTGTGGACAGGACACACAGCGTTGGCGTACTGTACTTTTCTAGTTCACGCGCGAAGTAGGCATGACTTCCTGAAGGTGCCAAAGCCATTAGCCACAGCGTCTTCACGTGAGCGTCAGGCGTTGTCGGCGCGCGAATACCTTCAAATTTAACTTTGGATCATTCAAAATACGTAGTGGATGGACCAGGAACCAGTTTAGGTCTCCCCCAACTCTCCTTTGAAATCTTGTCAGTTTTGCGCAAGCGGGTGAGATTTAAAATGTGGAACTCGTTATCCTGGGACATTTACGGACGGACACAATGTTTCTGACAGAGCGATTTTGCCAACATGAATGGTTTATGGGGGCCCTAGGGGCATGTAACTTGCCCCCTCCCACCTCACCCTTCAAGCAACACCCGTGCAAGTAAAGCAGCAACTTCACCCATGATCGTTATATTGGGACATTTACGGATGGACACAATGTTTACGACAGAGCGATTTTGCCAACATGAATGGTTTATGGGGGCCCTAGGGGCATGTAACTTGCCCCCTCCCACCTCACCCTTCAAGCAACACCCGTGCAAGTAAAGCAGCAACTTCTCCCATGATCCACTGCAGAATTTCTGCAAGATTTATAAACACCAATGGCAAGCCTTTCTGCACTGAACATACATGTACGCATACATTTTTCAAACACAATTCCACAGACAAAAAAAAAGAAGTTACCCTTGATGTCCATGTGGACGATTTGATGGGTGCTATGAAGCCAAAAAACAACAACTAGCAGCCGCTGCAGGATCCTCAGTGCCCGCACTGGCCCCAGGACCAATTGGTGAATTATCTCCAGAAGGGTCTCGCTACCCAGCTGGTAATCAGAGAGGAGCATCACCTTGTTGTCCGTGCACAACAGGCCCAGGAAGCGCACGATAAATGGATGGTCTAGCCGACTCGAAAGTTTGGGCTCGGATGGCGCAAAGTTCCAAAAAGGGACCTAGAAAAAAAAATATCAAACTAACTTTTTATGGATGATTTGTCTTTAGTGAGTGATTAAAGATGTTCATTATATCGATATGCAAATGAAAGAATTTTTGAATTCTACAACTAATGATGAAAAGATGAAAAGATGCAGATGGAGGTGTAATTTACTCACTCGTTTTCCGACAAAGTATTTGCAAGAGGTTTTATCCTTCAACAAGTCGGCGACACCAAAAGCGCCTTCCCCCAATTGGCGAACAAAGATGTACTGCTTCCCCTGTATGTACTGACCATTACTTGGTTTCAAATCCTGCAAATGACAAGAAAACGAACAGACAGACCATGAACAGGTGCAATGCCTAACTGAGGCTCACACTCTATCAAAATGAGGACTGAATTCAGCTAGCCGTGTCCGAGTGCTACAGGCGGGCCTGGTACGGTAACTGTGTGCATGCTGTTATGCATAGCGCCAGCGCGTGCGCGGAAAGCAACATTATAATTGTTACGCCGCTGCAAAAATGCCGATAAAAAAAAAGGCGCATTAATATTGCAAATCCGGGAGGATATCTTATATGCCCGTAAGGTCGGGAGTTTAGTTGATTTTCCAAGAGCCTCCCGGCGAAATCGGGAGGGTTGGCATCTTAGCAGGAATACTTGTTGTGACACGACAGATGCCTTTCGTCTCTTACCGCATCAAGCAGCACGCCCTGGTGGTATCCACGGAGCTCGGCAGGATTGCGATTCTTCAGCTGTTCAATAAGATCCGCCAAGTCAATCACGTCAAGGGGGCCACCGTGATAAACCCCTTGGGTGGTCAAAGCACCTCTACCAGGCATGCTCACATCGAAGTTGCGGTGTACCTGGAAGCCATCGTCTTGGCACATTCCCTGGACAGCCTGCTGGTTTCGCCAGGTCGAGGTCTGTCAGGGTGGGGAAAAATAATAAAATGCTTCAACCCTCATTACAGAATCACTTAACGGAGTTCCCCACTAAAGGAACACAAACTGTGATCAAACCTTTGGAGAAAAATATGTCAAGTCGATTATTCTGAACAAAACCTAAATACATTGGAGTCTACTGTTCTTCCTGTCCCTGTTAGGCCAAAAAAAAAAAATAAGTCGGTCTCTGGTCAGCGCGCGTCGATTTTAATCTTGCGTGTCGATCTTTTTATTTTCCAAAATGTTCCGCGGTAGCTCCAACAGCGCCCTCTATTTCCGCACCTCCTCAATTTGTTTTACCAAAGAGCACCAAGGAATGGGAAATTGCACCAAGGCAAATGATCGAAAGCACCAAGGCAAATTATAGAGGACACCAAAGTACATAAGGACACCAAAAAAGCAAAATAGTACCCCACCTTGTCTGTACAATCCAAGCTTGAAGAAAAAAAAAAAAAGCCAAAAAAAAAAAAAAAAAAAGCCGCATCGCCGCGTCAATTCCGGAACTTTGGTCTGACCAGAGACCGAATAGGTTTTTTTTTTGGCCTTACATCTATTATTTTCTAATTCCGATGCACTCCCTAATGCAGTCATCCTCCAAGCCTGATTATGAATAGCAAACCACCTACCCAACAAATACAAACATGGAGTCATCGTTAGCCTTAACCCTTCTCAATCCTCCAAAATCCTCCTGCTGGTTTTGGATGAATTTAGAGGATTGACGATGAATGGCAAAGATGTACTGCTTTTTTTGTGGAGGATGCATTACGTCAAGCCAGTAGGCCATATCCTGCATTGGTTATGTTCAGCCATGCATAGATCAGCCCTGTGTTTTTCTCGTATTTCATCCGCACTGCTTCTAAACGCCATTCGCACTGCCTCAAACCATAGCAGTAATTGGCAGAGGATTTGGGAGGATTGAGGCAGTGGTCGCCCTCCACAGACTAAATTCAAGAAATAACGGATGATTTTGGAGGATTGAAGCTGAATCCAATGTTTTCTTGGTGGCAATTGGAGGATTTGTTAGCGTTGAGGTTGCATCCTAGCCAGCGGGCTTTGGACCCTAAATTTAAAGAACGACCCAGAAATTGAGGTTTCAAGCAACTAACCTGGCTCTTTCCGTCATCGTTCGGTTTTGCCTGGCCCGCCTTTTCATGATCGTCTCCATTTCCTTGGTCGGCGGCAGTCTCAACTCTGATGGATGCATTCTTTGGAACAGCTTCTGTAAAGCAAGTGATTTCAATTTTTCAGTGGTAACACAAAGTTTTGTCAATTGTGGACAGAGTTCATGGGCGTATCCCCCCCCCCCCCCACTTTTTAAAGTGGGGGGGGGGGGGGGATATCATATCGCTTGTCCCCGAATAAAAATTGTAGCCAATATTTGATTCTATAACTCAGAATAGCTGATTCAGTGACTCTAAACTCGAAAATGATGTTATAAGTGATGATGTTTTGCTCAAAAAATGTGGTTGAAGTGGTCTGAAATTGCCTCAGATCTCACCACAGAGCATCTAGAGTCCACAGTTTTCGGGGGCCCTTAGGTGGGCCCCGAACCCCACGCCGTAAGGGCTTCGCACTTCACACTCGCATTACTTCTGATCAAGGTATGCCCCCCCCCCCCCCCACTTTGTAGAAGCGATTTACAGCCTTGACAGAGTCTGCAGTACACATCTGCAGTTTTCTGAAATAACAATGTAGCAGCTTCAGCATTATATTGGTGGGCATGTGCCCAGAAATACTCGTAAATAATTTTTAAAAAGTTGTAAAGTAACCAATGGTTAATACCTGTGTTAGAAGATTCCTTTTGCTGTCCAAGCTGTGGATAGCTCCGTTTATCTTTCTTCAGATGCACCTTCGCTTTAACTTCTTTTTCACGTGATTCACGAAGCATTGTTTTCCAATCGTCATGTGCTTTACCATTATGGAAGTCATTTTCTGGGAAAGGTTGCTGGTGCATTGCAGATGAACAAGCTGTTGGTAAAAGAAAAAAAAAGGGAATTTTAGAGATATTTGCCTCAGCCTTGAAAGCAATGAAACACTTTTTTGTACAGTTTTCTTTGCAACGTGGTCACATAAACCAGAGTCTGGGAAAGTTTTCGCAGGCATTTTTTAACACTTAACACAAAGCTGTAATTTTTTTTTGGGGGGGGGGGGGAGGGGGAGAGGGATTCAACATAATAAAAAAGGGTTTCTTTATTGTTTTCATATTAACCAAAACTCAACCCATCAAAGCCCTACAGCAGGTTTTGTTGGAATCTGTCAGGATGGGTACAGTACCCCTAAAACTGACGGTCTTTTACAATGGGTTGGCACACCTTCAGAATCAAAGTCAGAAATATGTGTGTGCAGTTTCCCATATGGTGTTGGAATTTGTCAGGATGGGTATGGTTCCTAGTAAATCATGCTAGGGAGTTAGGGTTAATCAACTCACACTCTGTGGCTGTTTTCGTAACTGTGGACTGACTAAATGCATCTTCCTTCAACTGGGAGCCATCGGATTGTTGGCACTGAGGCGGCTTCTTGGAACTGCAGAGCATTAAAAAAACAAGAAATCCAGCAACGCATGAACAAATACCAAACGAAGCTAGTCACTGTCCCTTTAAGGCTTATTTGATTATTTGCAATAAAAAGCTGTATCTTCTCTGAGCGCTCCCCATTTGCTAGCAAAATGTTGCTAGCACTGCGACTTTGGGTGTACCCCTGGCTACATGGCATAGGGTTTAACCCTAACCGCCCTGAATCCTTCAAAATCCTCTTTGACAAAATGAAGGAATTTGGAGGATTGAGGTTACATGGCAAAAGTGTGTTACTGATTTCGTAGGATGCACTTTGTCAAGGTCTTGGGCCGGACCTTGTGTTGGTTTTTGCTCAGCCATGCATAAATATAGGTCTGGATTATGCTTGAAATCCTCCGTACTGCTCCAGGATGTCACTGGCCAAGCATCAACATATATTGACAGTCACTGCCGCAGGATTTTGCAGGATTCAAGCAGTGGTCACCCCTCCACGGACCATATTCAAGAAATAATGGAGGAATTTGCAGGATTGAGGCTATATGCTGTTTATCCATGAGGACAATTGGAGGATTTTGCAGGATTGAGGCTACATCCTAGCAAAAAGGCCTAGGGAGTTACGGTTAAAGAAATAAAAGAGGGGGATTGACTTCATTTTTTATCAATATACACGGCTTCAATGTAAGGCTGATCGACTTGTGAAATTTACCTCTAAAGCCATGAGAATGAAAGTTTTAGATTTGCGTCTGGAAATTTTTCAGCAGACAGGAGGCTTTTTTTCATCAAAAGTGATCAAAAGTTGCCTTACTTTAATAAAAAATGTTTTTAGGTGGATGATTCTTAAAAATAATGGAGAAATTAAGAATAATGGAGACTCGAGTCCCTCATGAGAAGACTCAACTCGAGTCCCTCATCAGGAGACTCGACTCGAGTCCTTATCAGAAGACTCGACTCGAGTCCTTATCAGAAGACTTAACTCGACTTGAGCGAAGCCTAATAAGACTCGAGTCCCAAAAAATAAAAGCAAAAGTTTGGGAAAAGTATTTGCAATGACTTACTGTGCAAAATTTATGTTCACGTCACTTTGAAAATACAGTACAGTAGCTGCTTGTCATGTACATACATAAAACGTGTCACAGACTCCCACCTCATTGTTCTCGAACGCACAAAATACTATCCAGGAACCAGACTTTAAACATATTTTCTTATAATGCTCTTGGATCGAACGCCAGCTAAATTTATGCCCTCCTTTTGTAAGTTTTGGTATAGTGTTCAAATATTCGTGACTCGAATTGACTCACAAGCTATATATTTGACTCGACTCAACTCGACCTTCTTGACCTAATTACTCGACTCTAGTTACTTCTTTAAAATGACTCGACTCGACTCGAGTCACTTCTTTAAAGTGACTCAACTCGACTGAAGTCACAAAAATCAGTGACTTGTTACAACTCTGGTATAATAATTATATAAGTGCATATCGGGTGCTGAAATGTGATCAGCAATTTTTTTCTGCGTATCGGGTTGCAATCCCAGTGTATCAGGCAGATGAACACACAAACATGTATGTTATACACAAATAAATACATGTACAACCCTAATACACCTGTTGTTTTGTATACATGTACAACCCTAATACACCTGTTGTATACATGTACAACCCTAATACACCTGTTGTTTTGTATACATGTACAACCCTAATACACCTGTTGTTTTGTATACATGTACAACCCTAACACACCTGTTGTTTTGTATACATTGTACATGTACAACCCTAACACACCTGTTGTTTTGTATACATGTACAACCCTAATACACCTGTTGTTTTGTATACATGTACAACCCTAACACACCTGTTGTTTTGTATACATGTACAACCCTAATACACCTGTTGTTTTGTATACATGTACAACCCTAATACACCTGTTGTTTTGTATACATGTACAACCCTAATACACCTGTTGTTTTGTATACATGTACAACCCTAACACACCTGTTGTTTTGTATACATTGTACATGTACAACCCTAACACACCTGTTGTTTTGTATACATGTACAACCCTAATACACCTGTTGTTTTGTATACATGTACAACCCTAACACACCTGTTGTTTTGTATACATTGTACATGTACAACCCTAACACACCTGTTGTTTTGTATACATGTACAACCCTAATACACCTGTTGTTTTGTATACATGTACAACCCTAATACACCTGTTGTATACATGTACAACCCTAACACACCTGTTGTTTTGTATACATTGTACATGTACAACCCTAACACACCTGTTGTTTTGTATTCATGTACAATCCTAATACACCTGTTGTTTTGTATACATGTACAATCCTAATACACCTGTTGTTTTGTATACATGTACAACCCTAATACACCTGTTGTTTTGTATACATGTACAACCCTAATATATATCACTACTGATCTGTGTACTTTGGTCCAAAGACTTTTCAAGATACTGAACATGTACGCTAACTTTGTTTCTTAACATGTACATGTGTTGACAATGCCATACCTGTACATGTATGTCATGTACGTGTGCACATGTACTACATTGCATTCTTACATGTACATGGAGTTGTTAGAAAGTACATATTCATGGGTTGTAAAAATGATTTTGTACCAGTACATGTAAACGGTTATCCAAAAACATGGATAGATATTACATGTATGTGTTTATGATTTTGAGACACACAAGAACATATGCCGGTTTGCGTTCTGCCCTTAATATATAATTTTTTTTTTTTAAATGTATGACTGCAATGAATACAAATATTGCCTACACCTTGATGTTTTACATGTGAAATATTAGATACTTTTTATATTTTACATAAATGTACACTTGACATTGTCAATCGTTTTAAGTTGTCAATTATTTCATGCCAAATAATCTGGAGATAAATGCCGACCTGATAGGCCATATTGGCTTGGGACAGACTTTACAATCATCGCTACATGATTTCCCCTGTTTTAAATTAACTAGTCTGTTGCAGTTGTTGGGAAAACAAATCCAAATTTGTCTTACCTGTCTAATGTAGGCTCATATGCATTCCGTCCTGTGTCAGGAACGGCACTTTGACATTCCATCTTGTCTCTTCAAAATGTTCAAGCCCTCGCCGACTCCATCTTTAAACATTCGCACACTTTTCTTGGTCTTGGGTTTACTTTTCACGTCAGGTTTCTGAAATACACTTCAGCCTGCAATCATCAAAATACAAGAGAGACGCTAATGTTAGAAAACCTGTTTGTCAAGTGGAAATCTGGTTGGGAAAGTTCAATTGTGGCCCTGCAGGAGAGTTGCTGTGGTGTGTGCGTTGACAGGTCGACCATCGAACATCAAAAATGCTGAAGTCTAGTCTGGACTATCTGTTATCAAAAATAATAGTGGCCGGCCAGTAGCCTGAACCCCATGGTCGATATGCAAAAGTACGTGATGAAGAAGGTGTGTGATTGGCCAAATCCCAGTGAGGTAATCCTCATGGTCATGATGACTCATGTATGATATAGTGGCTTGGCCAATCACAGTACTTCAAAAAGCCCCTTGATTTTACCAATCTAACATGAAAAAAAAAATGTTGGTGCTATAACATACCAGATTAAGTTTAAAAAGGCCTCAAAACCTACTTTTCACTCCAAGTTTTTACATTATTGTAACATCATCACACTATTCTCTCTTTCATTTTTCTCCTAGAATAGAATGGACTTGTAAAGTACTTTTACAAACAAAACACTAGTGATCTATTTCAATTTTTTTCCAATGGCTTTATACATAGTGACTAATGCACAGGAATGTTAATCTCCAGTTAGAACTGAGAACAGAACCTTAGAAAATGTTATTGTTGTTGCAAAAGAATGACGTGTGGTCGTTTCTTCAATGTAAGGCAGGAAGTGCAAATGATCTGTTACGGCTAGCACTCAATCAGCATGATTTTTGAAGACAAAATAATCTACCACAATTACCCTTGGCCTAGTGTAGTTGCATGAGCTATCACCATTTTCAATGGTCTTTTCCAAACAATATGATTTCATGGCTTACACATACCTGACATCCCAAATATGCGCCTTCTAGACGAAAGGGCTCCTAACAAACTAGAAACAAGTCTCAAAAATAAAAGTGGCCTGACGTTTCGATCTTTACAAGAGCTGCTTCAGAGGCACAATGCTAGAACTAGAAACAAAGCAAGATATATCTGCTGCCCAGCAGATGAACTTTCATCACCATAATGACATGGCAAATATGCATATCTGGATAAGACAGGCTGATACTTCACACGAAAGCCGCAAGCCAAGCAAATTTCATGACTTCAACAATTAAAGTTTCATTGTGACAAGCGAATTTCATGACTTCAACAATTAAAGTTTCATTGTGACAAGCGAATTTCATGACTTCAACAATTACAGTTTCATTGTGACAAGCGAATTTCATGACTTCAACAATTAAAGTTTCATTGTGACAAGCGAATTTCATGACTTCAACAATTAAAGTTTCATTGTGACAAGCGAATTTCATGACTTCAACAATTAAAGTTTCATTGTGACAAGCGAATTTCATGACTTCAACAATTAAAGTTTCATTGTGACAAGCGAATTTCATGACTTCAACAATTAAAGTTTCATTGTGACAAGCGAATTTCATGACTTCAACAATTAAAGTTTCATTGTGACAAGCGAATTTCATGACTTCAACAATTAAAGTTTCATTGTGACAAATTGGCCGTTTCCCTAATAGTCAGGCGGCTTAGACCCAATTTTTGACAAGTTCATGACCGATTGGTCAAAAGCACCAAAACAGGGCAGATAGATTCTTATAGCCCTATAGAAGATATTTAGAAGGGGTGACATCTTAAATTCATTTGGGAAGGGTGTCTACATGTAATTTGCATAAATACCTTTGTATAAATACATTTGTATAAAAATGCCTGCTACTATTTTACCCAAAAGTTGTACGCATTTACCTTGTCTCCAGATATCGTCAAGTGGTCTTGCTAAACCTCAGTATTGATGAGCTTCAAATTCACCAAGTTGCTTACTGGCACAGTTACCCTATTAAAAATGTATGGAAAATCATGCGAACAACGATAACATTGTGATATTTAGCCCAGAAAACAAAAACGGTGGAAAAACGAGGTATCTGTCAATTGGTGAAGGAGTGCCTAACATGGGAGACTTGAACAAGTTCAAGGAAATTCCCAAAATTATTGGTAAGAAAAATTTGACATAGACATAATTATTGTCAACAACAATAATCGCTTATTTTTGGGGATTTCCTTGAACTTGTGCAAGTCCCCCATGTTAGGCAACCCTTCGCCTAATGTTTAGCCCAATTTACAAACACATAATTTCCCCCCCTTTTTTGATTTTTAGGGTAAACATAAAGATGTTATCATTTTTTTCATGTTATTCCCATTTATTTTTGTTAGGGTTACTGTGCCAGTAAGTAACTTTGGGAATTTGAAGCTCATCAATACCGATGTTAGTCACCCTGCCCAAAATAACTTCAGGTGTCACCCCTTCTAAATATCTTCTCTAGGGCTATAAGAATCTATCCAGTCGGTCACGATTCCGACCATATGCCATCTGACTATAACAATTTTGCTTTATAATGGAACTCGCGTGAAGCATGAGACGGCCTTAAAAATGCAAAACAAAACGGTTGCCATGGCTGGACCAGTTTCAAGATCTTAGCTTTCAGTTTGCTTAAAGGGAATATACATCATTTGCTTTTACTGTAATTTTCAGAAATGGATGGAATTGGGGGGTTGGAAATATAATATAGCAAATATAGTTACACTGACTTTTTTTTAGGTTTTGGGTTCGAAAATGCTATAAAAACCAAGAAAAACAATCATTTTCTGAAGTCTGGTTCCCCGACTCCATATAAGAAGAAACAGAGCAGTTTACATACATTGGGGAATTGTAAGGTCAGGGAACCAGTCTAGCTGGCTCGTACTCGTTCATAGGTTTGTAATCGATTGCAAACAAGTGCGATGGTCAATTGGGGCCAGTGTTTGAAAAAAAGCCAGTTTTTTCCAACGCTGATCGGCCAATCAGCGTTGGAAATTGATACAAAAATACCACTTTTCTTGAAAATGACAGTATACCAAGTGCCATGATTTTACAGGATGCTTTACACTGT